CCCCAGCCGCCCCCAGCCCCGCCCCACGGGCCAGGCGCCATGAGTGAGCTGGAGCAACTGAGACAGGAGGCCGAGCAGCTCCGGAACCAGATCCGGGTGAGGCCTGGCTGCCGCTGGGATGGGGAAGCTGAGCTGGCAGGGTCTGGCAACTCGTGGGGGTTGCTACCTGCTTTGCTGCCCAAAGGGGGTGCCTGGATGATGGGGAGGTACCCTAATCTCTGCATGTCGACTCTTCTCCTCTGCCTGGCCTCCTATTTTCTTTCTCTTCCCTCACCTCCCCCAACCATCTTTTCTTCTGGTTTTCTCTGGCTCTGCCATCTCTTGCAGGATGCCCGAAAAGCATGTGGGGATTCAACGCTGACCCAGGTGAGGAGACTATAGGACTGGCCTGGGGGCTTAGGAGGCAAGGGTTGGAGACAAGCTGCTGGACTATGGTCCTTTTGCCTGGGTCTTCCTGAGCCCTGTGTCTCCACCTCCAGATCACAGCTGGGCTGGACCCAGTGGGGAGAATTCAGATGAGGACACGAAGGACTCTCCGGGGGCATCTTGCAAAAATCTATGCCATGCACTGGGGGACAGACTCAAGGTGTGTAGGTGGCCAGGGCGGGGCTCTGCTCAGCTTTGGTGCTCACAGGCTCAGGCATGACCTTATATTGGCAAGGGCAGCTGTAGAGGGAGGGCAGCCTCTGAAGGCTGGTAGGGTTTGAGCATCCCTGGAGGACCAGGAAAAGCAGGGCCACATTGACAGGATGTCTGTGCTACTGCTGGGGATGTCTCAGAAGGGCCTCCAGATTGGAGAGAGTGGCCTGCCTGCCTCCACACCCTGACCCGCAACCTCTCCCCTACCTGTCCCCCAGGCTGCTGGTCAGCGCCTCCCAGGATGGGAAGCTCATCATCTGGGACAGCTACACCACCAACAAGGTAGAGGCACTACCCAAGGGGGACTGGGATGGGGCTGGGCTGCAGAGTCCTAGCTGGCCTTGACCCTGGGCGTTGCCCTTCCTCCCTAGGTCCATGCCATCCCGCTGCGCTCCTCCTGGGTCATGACCTGTGCCTACGCGCCCTCAGGGAACTTTGTGGCCTGCGGGGGTTTGGATAACATCTGCTCCATCTACAGCCTCAAGACCCGAGAGGGCAATGTCAGGGTCAGCCGGGAGCTGCCTGGCCACACTGGTGAGGGGCCCAGCGGGCAAAGGCTCTGTTGTGGGAGAGGGGCTGAGCTGCCTTCCCCATTGAGACTCGGCTGACCAGCCCCTTTCCCCAGGGTACTTGTCATGCTGCCGCTTCCTGGATGACAACCAAATCATCACCAGCTCTGGGGATACCACCTGGTGAGTCCCCTCGGGAGTGGGCAGTCTGGATTCACCTGTACTCCCTGTCTCCCTGTCCCAGTGCTCAGCAGGATGCGCCCTGAAGCCCCTCACCTTCCTCTCCAACCTGAGGCTCCCTAGTCCCTTCCTACAGACCAACGGCTGGCTCTTGTGTTGAAGGGGTGGGAGCCAGGCAATCTGTCCTTCATCCCATCTCTGATCCTTTCCTTCGTCTCCTTCCCCTTTCCAGTGCCCTGTGGGACATTGAGACAGGCCAGCAGACTGTGGGTTTTGCTGGACACAGTGGGGATGTGATGTCCCTGTCACTGGCCCCCGATGGCCGCACCTTTGTATCAGGTGCCTGTGACGCCTCCATCAAGCTGTGGGATGTGCGGGATTCCATGTGCCGACAGACCTTCATAGGTCACGAGTCCGACATCAACGCCGTGGCTGTAAGTTGGGGGAAAGCCTGGTAGACCCTCTCTCCTAGGTCCTGGCACTGCCCTGACCTGCCCTTCACACTCCTCTTGTCTGTCCCACAGTTCTTCCCCAACGGCTATGCCTTCACCACGGGCTCTGATGACGCCACATGCCGCCTGTTCGACCTGCGAGCCGATCAGGAGCTCCTCATGTACTCTCATGACAATATCATCTGCGGCATCACCTCGGTGGCCTTCTCGCGCAGTGGCCGGCTGCTGCTCGCAGGCTACGACGACTTCAACTGCAACATCTGGGATGCCATGAAGGGCGACCGTGCAGGTGAGGCCTGAATCCTGGGGCAACGGGCAGGGGCCGGAGCCCAGGCCAGGTCTGTCACACCCCTTTTCCTCAGGTGTCCTTGCTGGCCACGACAACCGTGTAAGCTGCCTTGGGGTCACTGATGATGGCATGGCGGTGGCCACAGGCTCCTGGGACTCCTTCCTCAAGATCTGGAACTAAACTGCCCCAATCCCAGCTGGGCCCAGGCCAGGAGGGGCCCTGCCCATGCCCACACTACAGGCCGGGAGCTTTGGGGCTGGGTACACACCAAGCCTCCCTCCCTGGGCCACAGGGCCTCGGGTCCCTGCTCCCCCACCCAGGTTTGGTTCCTCCCGGGGGCCCCCACTGTGGAGATTAAGATGGGGATGGTATGGGGGAAGAGGAGGGGGCAGAATGCCCTTATCCTATTGCTGCCCTGGAGTCAGGGCCTCACCTCTGGACGGCCAGAGGCAAGGAGGTGGAAACTCCAGGGGCTGGCTTTTTTAAAACTGGTTTTATTTTAATTTTTATTATATTTTCAGTTTTTCCATAAAGGAACCAATTCCAACTCTGTACCTGGTCTCCCTTGTGTCTGCTCCCTTCTCTGTTGAGGCCAGACAATGGATAAAGGGCCCCACCAAAGGAGAAATAGAGGGCAAAGGACTTTTTCTCCAGCCAAAGCCAGAAGCTAGAGACTCTCAGGCCCAGCAGGGTCAGAGATGTTCCCAGAGGTGTACAGCACCCCACTGAGGTCTCCCCTGGCTAGGCTGCTGCAGCCTCACCCCAGCCCCTCTAATTCCCAGCCCTGAGCCTTAGCCACTTATCCCTCAAGACCCTCCCCCAAATAAAGCCAGCAGGTGCAGCGGACAGGGAGAACACACACCAAGTTTTATTAGGAGTATTTACATGGGGCAGGTGGAAGGGAAGTCACACACGGAGGTAGGGAAGGAGACTGTGGGTACAAGGCAGACATAGGAACACAGAATGACCCCTTTACCACCCCAATCCCAGGAGGGGGGCAGCAGGGCCCAGGAAGACTGGGACAGGACAGCAATGGGACCCGAGTCCCTGGGCAGGGCTCAGGGCTTGTAAACATTGACCACTCTCAGAGGGGATGGGGTGGGAGAGGGCTCCCCCTATACTTCCTCACAGGGTTAAGGCCTCTCCAGGCTCATGGGCCCCCCAACTCAGTCTCTTTAGCTCTGGGGGAAGGGGCAGGAAGAGACAGGAAGTGTCCCACCTTCCCCTGCATTGGCTGTGGCAGGGGGCAGGGCAGTTACATTCAGTCACAACAGGAGTCTCCCCTACCCCTCTAATGCCACCACACTGGCAAGAAGGGAAGGGGGAGTTGGGGGGCCAGCAGCAGCAAGACATTTCCCCCTGGCCCATCACCCCCTTATTGCTTTAGAGAGAATATTGTCTTTTCACTGACACTAACACTGTCAAAACCAGGGTGAAGTAGGTGGAGGGGCCCTGCCACCCCGAGGCCAGCTTTATCCCCAACACTGACCTAGTTGCCACTTTGGTGCAAAAAAAAAAAAAGAAAAAAAAAAAAACGTCCTCTCTCTGGAGATAAGATGGGGAAAGAAACTGGGGCAGCTCCCCACTTCCCCAGGGCAGTAAGGAGCAATACATTCATGGAGGGAGGCAGCGGTAGTCTCGCCCTAATACTGCACTCAGCAATGAGGTCAATGGGAAAAGTTTGATGAAAACACAAAAGATTAGACAAACTACCAAAAAAAAAGATGGAGACAAGCCCAGGTAGGGGTTAGAAGTCAGTGAGCAATGGGAGACACACACCTCCGCTCTTGACCCCAGCCTTACCCAACATTTAAGACACATCGAGGGGAGGCCTCTTGCTCCTCTCTCATTTGGTCGAGGGGTCAGGTGCAGAGCTGGGCAGTCCACACCCCCACATGGCTGGCTGCAGGGCAAGGCTCTCTTGTGACAGTCCCTTGCACTGCAGCCTCAGCCCCGAGCTGCCTACTCCTGGCCCTTTGAGGCTCTCCTGCCCCTCTAGATAGCGAAGACTTGGCCATGAAGTGGTGCCTTCCCAGCTACTGGAGGAATTGCTGTGCCCCTCCTCTGGGGGCAAGGTGGGGGCTTGGGAACCAAAGAATACATTCATGTGGCAAGGCAGGGAGCTGGGGCTTTCGGCTTACACCAGGCCGTCTCCCAAATGGCAGCGGTAGGGGGAGCCCCTCAGCAGGCCTGAGTCCGAATCCTGCCCTGACAGAAGGCGGTCGCCAACTGGCCTTTCCCCGTCTCCCCATCAGCTAGCACATGGAATGGCAGCTGGGGACTGAGGCGACTTGTCCAATTTGTGCAACTTTCCCCCAAAGCAGCAAAGCCAAGGGGTGACTTTGGCCCCCACCCCAGACACCTCTGCCACAGTCACAGCAACAGGGAGCTGTTCACAGCGGGTCCGGTGAGCAGGGCACTGAGGGGGTCTCGCTGTGCAAACTGCTGGCGCCCCAGCCATTACCCCAACAGCCCACCTTCTAAGGGCAGGGTAAGTGCAGCCTCAGGGGCCAGGCAGAACAGGTCCACGGGGCCTGTGTTCCCACTGCCCCAAAATAACAGTGTGTTTTTTCTTTCAGCCTAACTTTTTTTTCATTATTTTTCATCATTTTTCTTAAAAAACAAACAAAAAAACTTCCGTGGACCTTCTGTTATCACACCATCCCCCCTGAGGGAGAAAGCGTGTCTAGAATCTAGCTTTTTAACAAATCCTTTTGTCTCCTAACGTTTTTTTCAGTCATTTAAAATAAAAAAAAAAAAAAGGAAAGAAAAACCCCTTCCCCCCTCTGTAAAGTGCCTCGTGGTGGGTGAGTTAAGGTGCATCGTGTGGTTTGTAACAAGTGCTGGGGATCCTGCCCCTGCTTCCTCCTTTGCTCCTTCCTGGGAGCCTGCAGGCTAGGGACCCGAGGGTCCAAGCTGCGGCCGCCACTCCTGGCCTCCAGCCCAGGGGGCTAGTGGGATGGGCTGGTCAGTAGTCATCCACGCTCTCGATCTCACCAGAAGGTCCATGCAAGGAGTACCCTAAAGCAGGGAGGAAGTGGGCATGAGCTTCCTCAGCCCTCTCTGGACCTATGAGTAGGAAGCCAAACTCAAGCTCCTTTTGCAGCCCCTGACCCCCATGCTCACCCAAGATGCTGGGGTCGGAGTGCAGCATCAGTGCCCGCCTCTTGGCCTTGGTGCCCTCTCCAGGGCCAAGTTTGGTGCTGTGGTTGGCCTGAAAGGCTGTCTGCAGGGAGGCGCTGCTCAGCCACACCTCCTAAGGTAGCAGAGGAGGATGTCATGAAGGTGCCAGGCACTCCTCCCAGGGGTCCCTGAGAACTCACCTGTTGCTGATGCTGCCGCTGCTGGCTGGCTTTCTGCTTGGCCCTCCGCTCCAGGAATTGTTTGGCAAATTCTTTGGCTTCCAGCGTGTCCCCCAGGCAGGAACGGATATAATCATGGACATCATAGGGGGACTCCACCTCCTTGAGGATTGCGACAGCCATGGGCACTGCAGGGAGGACAGGGCTGTGAGGCACACCTGGCCAGACCAGAAGTCCCACCCACCAGTAGTGGCTCGATGCATGTGCACCGTGCCCTACCGTCCAGGCTGCCGGTGGTGCTCAGGGTGTGTAGCATCTGCTCACACCACTGGGTGAAGCCGTCCTGGGGCCTGGGAATGCCCTGCAACAGCTTCAATAGCTTCTCTTCTTCCTCTGTCTTTTTGCGAACAGGCCGACCTGACAGGTGGCTGTAGGAATCACTGAGAGGGGTAGGAAATTGGAGGCCAGAGGTCAGCCTGGGGTTTAGCACCCCCTTACCCCATCCCTTGGACCTCCAGGTCCCACACCCACCTGAGGGATGGGCTGCTCCGGCTGTTCTTTAGGCCAAGGCTGCGGGCCAGGCTTCCACTGCTCTTGAGGGTATCCTCCCAGAGGCCCAGGCTGCCACTGCCACTGCCCCCACTCTTGTCAGGCCCGCCCCACAGTGGCCCGGCCTCAGAAACCCATTGGTTCAGGGGAGCAGCGCCCAGGCCCCCAAGCTGCTGAGATGGCAAGAAGTCAGGGGCTCCAATCAGAAAGCCAAGAAAGTTACGCAGCACAACTTGTTTTGGTGCCACAAGGAGAGGGAGAACCACATGGAAGAGCTCTCAAAACCACACCAGGAAGGAGGAATGGAGGAAGAAGCCTGGGCCCAGTGGCCACCCCTCACCCAGCCCACCCTGCATCCCTGCCCATCAGAATGGGGGCCCAGCCTGCTCACCGAGCGGTGGTTGGGGGCCTGGGCCCTTGGGGGCTCCCGGGGCACAGGCGGCTTGTGCAGCTGCCGCTCGCTCTCCAGCTGCAGCTCCAGCAGAGTTTTCATGGACAGGCCCTGCTTTGCCAGACTGGCCCACAGTGGAGGTGGTGAGCTGGGCGCAGGTGGCACAGGAACTGAGGCTGATGCCTGCTGCTGTTGCTGCTGCTGCTGCAACAGCTTCAGGAGCAGCTCTTGCTGCCGCACCTGGCAGAGGAGGGGACACTTGGTGGGTGGGGTCAGCAGCAGCCCCGGGCCTGGGCAGGCCACTGTGCTAAGGACACTGACTTGCTTGCGCCGAAAGAGCTCCTCCTCCTCCTGGCGCCGTTTGTGCTCTTCCTGCTGCTGCTGACGGCGCTTTTCCTCGCGGCGCTTGCGCTCCTCCTCCTCCCGCTTTGCCCTGAGCTCCGCTTCTCTGCGTTCCTGGAACTGAGCAGGGGTGATCAGAGGAGGGTGCAGCCAACCTCTGCCAGCCTGCATTTCAGCCCGCATTTCAGCCCAGGCCACTACTCACTTTATGCTGCAGCTGGAGCTGTTCTAGGATTGGACCCTGAGTCGAAGAGTTAATTGGTATGTCCCAAAGACTGGCCTCACCACCTGCAGGAGGCACAAACAGCTGTAGGACGGCACTCAAGATTGGCCCCAGACCCAGAGGGCAACAGCACAAGGATAACAGACCTCACCCAGGGCAGGCCTGCTGGCCACTCACCAGACTGTGATGAGGCTGAGGTATGTACGTCCCAGAGTGGGCTTGAATCCGGCACCGACAAGGACCGGCTAATTGTCGGGAGCAGGTTCTGGTCCCCACCTCTGAGGAGTAAACCACTGACTCTCAAGGCCCCATGCCCACTTCCCTTTGCAATCCCCCTTTCCCCAGCTCCACCTTGAGAACCCAGATACCCATGGAGGCACAGACCTGGGGGTTTTGAGAGCCTGGAGCTGCTGCAGAAACGTCGTGAGCTGTTGCTGCTGCGGCGGTGACAGGTCCCCCATAGCTGCCTTTTCCCGGAGAGAACATGGTGGGAGCTGGCGGCTGCAGAGACAGATGGCATAGCAGTGGGCCACAGGGTACCACTACCTGGCCTGAGGGCCAGACCTTACAGCCCCCATACCTGCCAACCAGCTGAAGGAACTGCTGGTGCTGCAGCTGCTGGTACAAGGCTGCCGCAGCCAGCTCCTGCTGCTTCTTTAGCCGCTCCTGGTCCATGTTTCCCTGCATGTGGTGAGAGTATGCCCAGTGTGCACAGTGGGGAGGATGGCCCCTGGGGTCCTGCCTGCTTATGCCAGTCTGCCGTCTCCTACCAGCCCTCCCTGCAATGGGCAGCAGAGGAACATTGTGCTCACCAGCAGTGGGGGTGGTGAGGGACCTGGGGCAAAGGGCACACGGCCCCACATCTTGATCACTTCTCCCAGAGGCTGGAAGCCCTCATCGCAACCCCGCTTCACCAGCAGGGACATGGAGAAGTAGCCGGCCTGGAACCATTCTGCCATCTCCTGCGTTGTGAAGGGGCCTAGCCAAGCATGTGAGGGAAGGAGGGGAAAATGGCACTAGGGTCAGAGAGCTCACTGACAACATCTTGCACAAGAAGCGCTCAGCACAGCCCTTCTGCTCCCACAGCTACCTTGGATTTCCCCCTGCGGGTCCTTGTAGAACCACTTGCGGGCAGCACCGTGGCTGAGGGGGAGGGCAGTGGCAGCTGTGGAGTGGCGCAGGCCCTGGGTCTGCATGGCAGCCGTAAACTGCTCCTCCTCCAGGGAACTGTCCTGCAGGGAGGCCACCAGCTTCTCTGCTTCCTGGGAGCCCAGAAGACAGGTAAGGCTGAGCCATCCAACCACAGCAACATCAGCATGGGAGCATGGGGCTGCAGTGGGTGAAGGAGGCTGGGTCGTGGACTAGTCAGGAGAGAATCTGGAGGAGGGTAGAGTCTAGGACAGAGACAGATGAGCAATGATCTCCTGCTTGCTTCGGGCATCCCCATACCTGCTGCAGGTGCTTCAAGCCTTCCTCATCTTCCAGATCTCCAGGGGGTGCCGGGGGTGAGCCAACACCTGGACTCAACTGGATCCCCCGCATGTCATCTCCTAGAAGTGAAGAAGTGGGGGAATGCAGTGGACAGTCCCCCATCCACCCTCCAAACAAAGGGGTTCTTGCTACAACCCCCCAATACCAATGCCCTGTGTACCTTTTCTCCACCAGTCCCCGTCCACAGGTGCCTCCCACCATACCTTCAGCTGTGGGGAGTTCCTTCTCCACTGCTTCATCACTCTCCCCATTCGTGCCCCAGAGTGGGCCCAAGGTGGGCAGTGGGGACGGAGAGCTGGACTTCTCTGGAGGCGGCAGTGGGGGCATCTCCTTCCCACCTGGAGGAGGAGGATAATCACAAAGCCGGGCGTGGTGGCACATGCTGGTAATCCCAGCACCCTGAGAGACTGAGAAAGGAGGACTACAAGCTCAAGGCCAGTCTAAGTAACTAAATGAATTAGCAAGACCTTGTCTCAAAATAAAAGGTAAAAAAAGGACCAGAGATGCAGATCAGTGTGAAGTCCCCCAGGTTGAATCTTTGGTACCACAAAAAAGAGAATGATCACCAGAACTCTCAAGCAAATAGTGGAGGGTTCTGCATGCAAGGTGGTGCAAACCACCATCTGCACCCTCGGGCAGTATGGCCATCCTCTAGCGAAGCTCTGGGAGTGCAAATGTCCTGCCACACAGCAGCTCCCGGACTCGGGCTGCAGAATGTGAGCAGGCACGCACTCCAAGGAGCCTCACAGGGGTCTCAGGTTCCCATCATGTGTGATCTCACGTCATGTGCTTTCTGCTGCTCTGCTACCCTCCCCACAACTCTGAGCACTTGCTCAGCTTGTGGTCCTCAGCAACCTGACGCTACAGCTAGGTGGGCAGCCAGCACCCTGCATGCTGACTCCTCCTCCTCCTCCAGTGCAGCTCCACAGCTGGCTCACCGGCCTCAGGTCGCTCCTCATCCAGCCCTTCTGAAGACTCCTCCTCCTCCTCCAGGCCCTGGAAATCGAGTTCTTGCTCCTCAGGAATGGGATCCTTGGGGCCCTTCTGTGTGGGTGAGGGGCAGAAAGCACATGGCGGGGGAGGCACGGGCCCCAAATGCAGCATGCATCTCCCCAACCTCTGATCAGCCCAACTTGGCTCTCCTCAAAGATACCTTGAGAGGTAAGAAGGCCCCAGAGGCATCGAAGGTGCCCATTTCTTCATCCTCATCATCAAGGCACCACTCTGGGAGTCCATCCTTGTCGTCATCAAAGCCATCAAGCCCACGGCACCTCCGGAGGTGAGAGCTGCCTCCCCCACCCCGCCCCTCCTCTTCACCACATCCTCCTCGCTCCCCTCTCAAATCAAAGTCAAACTTTCGACGCCGCTCCCCATGTTCCCGCCAGCCAGCAGAGCGGGGGCCGCCATCTGGAAGGAAAAGGGAAATTGGCACCAAGATCAAGCCAGTATTGTCCCTCATCTGCCATTCACAGGACACCCCAGGAATACCGACATCACCAACACCATTCTTCCCACTCAGTCCCACCCCAGCAAACCTTCTGTGCCCTTCCCTTGGCCACAGGACTGCACTTTCCAGTTCCCAAAACCCATAGCACCACTATGCCTAATCTCACCAGGACTAGTGGAGCGCCAGCGATCACCATCTCTCCTGGGTCCTGCCCCGAGTCTCCAGCTGCCCTCTTCCTCCTCCTCCTGCTCTTCTCGAAGTGAGCGCCAGTTCTCACTGTCTGAGCGGGCGTGTTCCTTCCTTGGACCAGCCCCTCCCTCCTCAAACCCAGATCTCGCTGGCCATGGAAAGAGACGCAGCACAGTGAGCAGGACGGCTGCCATGGAATCTGGACGTCTCTTAACCCTGCTCCAGGCCCTCCTGCCTTTACCACTGCCCCCATAAACTTCCCCCTACCTGGGGGCACCCATCTCAGTTGCCCCCCCACCTCTGGCCACCATGCTTGCCACTCTCATACCTCCATCCCTCCTTGCAGACTTCTCAAACCGCCTCTCACCTCTGCAGGAGAGAAAGGTATTGGTCAAATGCAGTACGTGTCCCTCCCGACCCTGCGGGATTGTTACACACCTTGTCCACTCTGCCCTGGGATGGGGGGAGAATAGATGGAAGGGGGGAAATCAGGCTCAGGAGAAAGGAGCACAAAAGATTATACAGAACAGATCACAGGGACAAACAGATCCTACGAGAATGAGAAGCAACGGGCAGGCTGGGCCGGGCAGGTCAGTGGGGACAGGGGATTCTGACAAGGGCTTATCTAGTGGGTCTCTGCTAACTCACTCCCAGCCTCCCTCCACGGACTCTGGCCCAGCCCTGGGCTCCTCCATGGCTCTGCCTCCATGCCACCGCCTTCCAGCCCCACCTGTCATCCCAGCTCTGGCTTCGCTGTATCTCCCGGGGGTTTCGTCCAAAGGCTCCATCGCCTTCTTCAATGCTTCTTTGGTAAAAGCAACTGTCACCACGGCCACGGCCTAGACAAGGACAGATACCTGGGTCTGAAACCTGCCAATGTCTCTCCGTGCCCTAGGGACCACAGGCTCACCCCTGCCCACCCTTGAATCTGCAGTCACTCCTCTACCTCGACTTCTCGTGCTGCCCCTGCCACGGGAGGCACCAGCCAGTGGGGGAGCAGCCCCTTTCCCCATCAGCCTCAGCACAGCCACGCTGTTCACTGACAGGGAGAAGTTCCTCTGAGGAGGGAGCCAGGGGCGGGAGTGAGGACCCCGGCACCTGACCACCCCAGCTCCCCAAATCTGACCCCCACATCCTCAGCCTGGCCTGGCCCCACCTGCTCCTCCTCAGTCAGAGGCTCCAGGGCCAGTGGCTGTAGTGGCTCCTCTTGCAACACTGCAGCAAACTCCTTGTCCTGAAGTTCTTCAGGGACCTAAGGTGAGGCAGTGGGGCCAAAGACACCACGGCTCAGGACTTCTCCCCAACTGAGGCCACGCAGGTGTGGATGCCACCCACCCCACCCCACCCCGGCTACCACCACACCTTGTCCTCCTTGATGTAGAGGGCCAGCATCTCCTCTCGCCCATAGCGGTAGTCAGCCAACTTGTACTTGGGCATAGCAGGGGAGGTGGGTGGTGAGGCCACGCTGCCTCCACTGGAAAGGGCCCTCAGCCTGCAGGACGCACAGAAGAGGAGGAGAGCACCCATGGTCCCAGTGGCCTTGCTCCTCTTCCCCAGCACAGCCACACCTGCTTCACCATGACTCACCACTCAGGCCCAAAGTTGAGCGTCTCTGCTGCCATTGTGGAGCTGGAGTACTTCTCAGAGGTCAGGGGATGAACAGGGTAGAGAGGACCTGGTGTACACTATCCAAACACCTGTGGGGCCATGAGCACACAGGGCATAAAGCCATACAGCCTCTGTGCTTGGCTGCTGGTCCCCACCACTGTACTGGGCCATGGGCTGGCGCATGGGGCTGGGAAAGGGCTCACCTAAGCCACTGGCCACTCACACCATGAATTAACAGAAGTTGAGTCAGGGCTGCCCACAGACCTGGGAATGTAAGGAAATAGGGAAGCTAGAGGCCCTCCTGCAGCTCTGCACTCACCTGGCAGTCTTGCAGGGGAAGCAGTTGGGAGCTGAGCCCTCTTCAGACAGGGGCTGGTGCTAGAGTGAACTAGGGTCCCCAAGCCACTGGCTAGTGGTATGGCCTCAGGACCTCCCAGGAGGAGCTTTCACTTCTGGGAAAGATCCTTAAGGACAAGCAAGGAGAAGGGGTTAAATTTGTGGGTCAGATGGCATCCCTGTCTCTTGCCCCCACTACCCTGTAGGAATGGAAAGGTCCCCAGATGCTAGGGGCACAGACAGGACACTAGCTGGATGCTGAGGGGTGGCCAAGAACCTGGCCTCACATCATCTGCACTCTAACCAGAAGTTCAAACACCAGGTATAGCAGAGAATTCAGTAATAAGGTGACTAAGGTAGGCATGGTCATTCAGGGCCATTAAAAAAAAAAAAAAAGCCACCAGAACCACAGTCCAGTAGAGAAAAAGGTTATGGCCCAAAGGATTAGACACAAACTTGGGAGCAAAACTACTATCCTCAAGGAAAAAAATCAGGACTGGCTGCTCTGATGCTAAAATCTAGACACCAGGTCAGGGGAGGAACCAGCAGAAAAGAGGCAGGAATTCTTCCTGGGCCAAAGACAGTCACACAGGCCAGGTTCCTAGCTCATGAGCCTAGGCAAGGCATCTCAGGGCTAGTTTCCCCAATAGGAATACACACCAAGCCCCCCTGCCCCAGACCAACAACAGCTGCTACAATGAAAAGCTGGGAAACAACACCCTCAGATAAGGATGGAGGGTTCCCTCACCATAGAGCAGAAAGCAGGTCAGAGTCACAGAGTCTGACAGAGGCGGTGGTGGTAGCAGCAACCAGTTCCTCTAAGGAACAACGGAGGATACTCTCGGAAGAGGGCTCATCCCTGACGGGACGGAAGCGGAAGACGAAGGGCAGGCAGTGTCCAGGGGTGCAAGAGGGCTCCGTCACGGGCCGGGAAGGAGGCTGGGCCGGCACAGCGCTGCAGTGCCCATCCACTCCAGGACGCCAGCTCTGTGGGGAGGAGGGGAGGTTTCTGCCAAGGGCCTAGGACAAGGGCTCTCTCACCAGCAGTCAAAGCAAATAACGATGACTGACACTGGGCTGCCCAGATCACAGCACCCGAGGATCTAGAGTGAGACACCTAAGCTGGCTAAGCTCCCAGACTGGCATCTCCACTCCTCCAGAGCTTCGGTGACACACAGCACAGCTTCTTCTCCCCCTGCATCAGAGGAGGCCACAACCCTTAGGCAATCTAGCAACTTGATGGACTTGAAGACATAGTAAATAAAAGAAGTCAGTCACAAACATAACACTGGAGGACTTCTCTTGTACCATGAACCCAGGGCAGGAATATCAGAGGTGCAGGGGAAGGGGATGTGGGGCTGTTGAATGGGTCCAGGATTTCAGCAGAGAGTGAGGAGAAAGTTCTAGAGATGCTGGTCTGGTGGTGATGGCTGCACAACACAGCTAAGAAAATGTAACACCTCAGAACTGCACACTTACAAATAAATAGTCAATGGTGAATTTTGCATCACTAATAAAAAAACTTTAGTGAGACCTGGGTATAGCTCAGTGGTAAAGCACATGCTTAGCATACACAAGGCCGAGTTTCATTCCCAGCGCTGCAAAAAATAAATAAGAAAGAAAAAAATATTTAAGAGAAAACAGCCCTTTGGGAAACAACCATTTCATACCTAAGCCATCCCTACTGCAAGAAAAACACCCCACATTCCATCAACCCCCAAAACAGGCAGTTTTGAGCCTCCTCAGTTTGCTCCTAGCGAAATCCTGAGGGCACAGAAGGGCTGAGGGCTAGGACAAGAGAGAAGGGAAGAGGCGGCAGGCAGAGGAAGAGTCTCCTACTCTTGTTGGGCTCCCCTGGCTGGGAGCAAGCATTAGAGGCAGGGAGCCAGGGGCTCAAGAACCAAGAGCAGAGGAAGACAGAGCCAGTGAAGGAGCGGCCAGGTCACTGGGCGTTCTGCACCCCTCCCAATAATGGGACTCTGCCCCATGCAGCCTGGAAGTAGAGGGTTCTTGGCTGGGGGTGATTCTGCTCCCCCGAGTTTTGGATATGGCTGGAAAGACATTCAGGACAGTCTCAAGTGGGCTCCAGCCACAAATGTAAAAGTGCAGAGAGGGAGCCAAGATGGGATTCCCCAATCCATCAAATCACACACAGTACCAACAGGTCCACTGACAGGGATGACAGTAGAATCTTTTAGGTAGAGAATGAGGATCCAGCAAGACACCCTACAATGCCCAGAAGAGACCCCAAGACAAAAATGTTTCTGGTCCAGAACAGCAGCAGTGGAGAAACCCTCACCCACAAGTCCAGTAAAGCCTACTTGGCACTTATGTGGAGAATGGAAGATGGAGAACCAAGTGTCTGCTCATTTACTTTCCCCTCTAAGCAGCAGTGACCGATTCCTTAATTATACTATCCCATGAGAGAACTCTGAAGTCCTGCCAGGAGGGAAATCCCTGAGAAAAGAATAGATTAAAGAAAAAGAAGGAAGAGGGGCCAGGATTTCACTCAGTGGTTTCACCACCTATCTCACAAGCACAAAGAGCCAAGTTTGATCCCCAGTACCAAAAAAAAAAAAAAAAAAAGAAAAACCGGCATT